GAAAATTATTGCTCCCAAGTTCCCATCGCTGACCACAGTTCAGTCCTCCGGGGCTGTGGGGAGCTAAGGAGCACTAGGGGACAGGTAGGGACTGTGACATGCCCCCTTTCTTCTTAGGAAGCACAAGACTCTGGCCTTGATCAAAGATGGGCGGGTCATCGGTGGAATCTGCTTCCGAATGTTTCCCACCCAGGGCTTCACAGAGATTGTCTTCTGTGCTGTCACCTCAAATGAACAGGTCAAGGTGAGGACAGTGCCCCTGATCCCAGCCTCACCCCACTGCCTGCTTAGGACAGGATAGGTGTGCTGCTGCAGCAGCCTCAGCCCCTTAGTGGCCAGACAGTTCCTCACATACCCACAAGGTGGCAGCGGTACCTTGGTAATTGTACATTGTAAGGCCACACCTGTTGACAAATTGAGCCCAGGGATCAGCAACACTTTTTTTTTTTGCCCAAAGCTGAAGGTGATCCGGGGATTCAGCCTAAACCCAGGGCCCCATGCGTGGTAGCCAGACGCTCTACCACTGAGCTTCACTCCTAGCCATCAGTGCTTTTTTTTTTAATATTTTTTAGTTGTAGTTGACACAATACCTTTATTTTATTTATATGTGGTGCTGAGGATCGAGCCCAGGGCCTCGCACGTGCCAGGTGGGTGCTCTACCGCTGAGCCACAACCCCAGCCCCATCAGTGCTTTTTAAGTGAACCTGTTTTCTTCATCACAAGAACATTTACTTACTGTGGGGAATTAATAATTTACGGTAGCTCCACAGATAGCCCTGGTTTCTATCTTTTAATTATCACAATAGACCCACTTGTAGGGTCCCTCGTTCTTGTGTTTCATGTGACCTAGATGTTCGTGGACTTGATGTGTGGGAGACATTGTCTTCTCAAGATTCAAATGTTTTGATGAACAGGCCCCTGTGACTTCGCTTCTTCCCTACCATTCTAAGGCCCAGAGACTGAAAATCAGGCTATGTCGGTTTTGGATCCTGGCCCTTCTGCATCTGGCTAATTGACCTCAAATGCATTTCCTTGTATAGCTGTGTTTTGGTCTTGTCCTTTGTAAAATGGAGATGATAATACCTGTCAGAGGCTGACTGGAGAGTCTGTCTGTGAAGTTAGCACTGGGCCTGGAAATCCAGCGACCTTCTTATCTCCCCACAAATGCCCCATCTTCTGCCATCCACCTTTCCTCCTTCCTGCCTTGGATCCCTGGCTGTCCACCTCCTTCCCAAGATGCCTTTCATCTCTATCACTAGAGGTGGTGGGGAGACATCTTCAGCACTGGGCCCTCCCCACCTCCCCTCAGGGCTATGGCACTCACCTGATGAACCACCTGAAGGAGTATCACATCAAGCACAGCATCCTCTACTTCCTCACCTACGCTGATGAGTACGCCATTGGCTACTTCAAAAAGCAGGTAAGGCCTTCCCCACGTCTACCCACACTGCCTGGGGCCAGGGGTTACTCTGTCTAGCCCCTTTCTGTGGAGGAAGCCAAGTCCCTTTGTCCCTGTCCTACCTGGCATTTGGAGGAAGGCCTTCCTACCTGTCTTCCTTCCTCCTGCTGCTGCCCTAGGGGGGAACAGGGGCCAATGGGGCATGCCAGAATTGCGAGGCTCTTGGGGGTGAGTTGGGAAGGGGCGGCCAAGCTGGAACCTTTCTGGAGCCAAACTGAGCCCTCACAGTGCCTTTGGGAGGTTCAGGAACAAGAGAGGAGACCGGGCACACATTGTCCCTCAGGTGCTCTTGGGGGAGGCAGTGAAAGTTGGGGAGTACTTGCTGATAGATTGGGTCCTACCTGTCCACCCTCCAGGGCTTCTCCAAGGACATCAAGGTGCCCAAGAGCCGCTACCTAGGCTACATCAAGGACTATGAGGGAGCAACACTGATGGAGTGTGAGCTGAACCCCCGGATCCCCTACACGGAGCTGTCCCACATCATCAAGAAGCAGAAAGAGGTGGTGTGCATGCACATCCATGGGACTTTTCATGGGCACGCAAGGGGTGGGTTGGGCACATGTGTACCTATACCATGTGTAGATACGTGTGAGATGGGGACAGTCCAGGTCTTGGTTCTTGTCCTGCCTCTCAGGGGAAGTTGGGAGGTACTGGATTCCGGGGCAGTACAGCCTGGCTTTTCGTATTGGGGCTCTGACCACAGCCATGGGAATGGTGGTGGGTGTCTAGGGCTGGAGTTGGCCCCTCACACTCTTTTTTCCCTTAGATCATCAAGAAGTTGATCGAGCGCAAACAGGCCCAGATCCGCAAGGTCTACCCTGGGCTCAGCTGCTTTAAGGAGGGTGTGAGGCAGATCCCTGTGGAGAGCGTCCCCGGCATTCGTGAGTAGGGTCCTGACTCGGGGTGGGAGGGTGTACAGCTTGGGGTATGGACAGGCATTCTTAGGAATGTTCTCTCACGCCCTACTTTGCAGGAGAAACAGGCTGGAAGCCATTGGGGAAGGAGAAGGGGTGAGTCTTTGTGGAGGGAGTGGGTATTGGGGGGTGTGCAGAGGGACTCAGAGCCTCAGACTTGGCATCTCCCATCCCAGCAAGGAACTGAAGGACCCTGACCAGCTGTACACAACCCTCAAAAACCTGCTGGCCCAAATCAAGGTAGGAAGACCAGGTTCCCTTCTGGGGTCGCTGCACCAGTGGCTGCAACTTCATGATTCAGTATATACTGGGTGGCAGTCACGGGTTGGGCAAGGTAACAGTGGGCAGGTCCCCAGCTCACCTCTTCTCTCTAGTCACACCCCAGTGCCTGGCCCTTCATGGAGCCTGTGAAGAAGTCAGAGGCCCCTGACTACTACGAGGTCATTCGCTTCCCCATTGGTGAGGACCCTCCATTTCTTCCCTTCTACTTCTGCCCCCAGATCAGCCCCTGGGGAACAGCCCCAGCCACTGTCCTCAGCCTCTTAAAGGTATGCCCTCTCTCCTGCCATCCAGACCTGAAGACCATGACAGAGCGGCTGCGCAGCCGCTACTACGTGACCCGAAAGCTCTTTGTGGCCGACCTGCAGCGGGTGATCGCCAACTGCCGCGAGTACAACCCCCCCGACAGTGAGTACTGTCGCTGTGCCAGTGCGCTGGAGAAGTTCTTCTACTTCAAGCTTAAGGAAGGAGGACTCATCGACAAGTAGGCCCTGCGTTTGGACTACAGCTGTGGCCTGCTCTGTCTCCATCGGATTCTCATCTGATCCCTTGGGCTGCCCTGGCCCAGCTCCCTGACTCAGCTGAAGACACTCCAGCCAGGGACCCTCCAGTGCCTGATCCTGCAGGCCTTTCTGCCCTCAGGCACCACCCCAAGCCTGCAGCTCTGTCCCAGCCCTGATTGTGTCTGACCCTGGGAGATGGCTCCTGGGGGCCCCACCCCCAGAGAGGGGCTGGTGGCCAGAAGATGAACTCTGCCCAGCTAATGGCCCCCAGAGCTGCTCCCCGCAGAGCTGTGGAGGCATGGAGGCCTGGGCCTGGCCCAGCTGGCTGTTTCCTCAAGGACCAGGACTGCTAATTGTAGCTTCAGAGTGGGCTTCAGAGGTTGGAAGTTCAGCCCCCTCTGGAGGGGCTGTAGCTCACCCTGCATTGTTCCGTCAGTCTGTCCCCTGGAAGGGGGGCATGGGGACCATTCATTCCCTGGCATTAAATCCTTGGAGGGAACAATAAAGCTTTTTTTTTTTTTAAACACCTTTTTTTCTCTCTCTCTATTTGTGTGATTGTTTCTTTGGTGTATAATATAAAAGTTTCCAGACTTAGCATGTTTGTTGGGAATTTCCCTGAGAACTCCCCAGGCCTTTCAAACATGGCGGTGGCTAGAATTCCCCGGGCCTTTCAGATAAGAAGCCCCTAATACAATATGGCGGCGGGCAGATTACCAGTGGGCGGATAACAAGTTGTTTTGAAAATTCACTAATTGATCCTCCCATCTTCTGCCCTCTTGAACAGTTCCCGATCTCCATGAACCTTAGGCAGGGCGGACCTGCGTGCACCATAGGTGATGACCTGACCTTTACTATGATTGGCCCCGGGAGCTTCCTGGTCTAAGATAACTGACTTTCACTTTCTATATAAGCTAGCAGCAGTTCGCAATAAAGCGCTTCATCTTTGTCACTGCTATCTGTGTGTGCGTTTTGATCTCCAATGAGGAGCCTTGGCCTTTCAATGTTGACCTTTGCTCCTCCAATACCCTCTTGCAAACTGTAACCACTCATCCCCAGTCTAGTCCTGTGCTCCACCTGCCTGGCTGAAGCCCCTCTTTTCCCCACTCCAGATTGTTCCTGGTCCACATGCCAGGGACAGCAGAGTTCAGAACACATGATACTGCTGGTTGCAAAATGGCAGAGGGCTGGCACACACCTGTAATCCCAGCAATTCAGGAGGTTCACAACAAGTTCAAGACCAACCTCAGCAACTTAGTGAGATCTTGTCTCCAGAAAAAAAGAGAAACCCTGTCTCAGTAAAAAGGACAGGGATATGACTCAGTGGTAAAGCATCCCTGGGTTAAATCCCCAGTAAGGAACAAAAGGGGCAGGGCAGAGGGTATGTAGTGGCACCCCCTTTCTCCACAGAAAAGTCTTAACTGGAAATCTTCACCATGGCTGATTTTAGGACTATCAGCAAAAGAGTCTGCAAAAGAATTCAATGTAAATAAACTTTCTTTTTTTTTTTTTTTTCAGATCAGTCAGAGATACTTTAATGGCATCAGATGAAAAGTATACCTCAGCCTAGAGCATCATATAAATTTCACTTTTTAGCAGCAAAAAAGATGATATTCATTATTTAGGGTTTTTAGTTTTTTGTTAAGATTTAATCCCCCTCTCCCCGATTTATGAGTCATACGTCATTATTTTATAGCCTCTTCTCATCTTTTACATTATTGCTTACATTGTGTAAAAACTATAATAATTGCTCTTAATAAACTTGGCAATGTCTAAAAATATTGGAACAAGTAGCATATATCACTTTCATATAGGGCTTTGTAAACACTCTTAGTTGGGTTAAAAACATAGCCTCAACACAGAATTCTTTATTTTGTCCAAAACAGCACAGTAAAAACATCCCCACCAATACATAAACCTATATATAAAACATAGAATATCTTCAATATTTTTCCTTTATATGGTAGCATACCAGTATATGCAAGAGAAAGTATTGATGATGGGGCAAAGGGAAAATTGATTGGGGCAATGACCTAGTTAGCCGGGCATTAACATTCAAAAACCAGGTAAACATCAATTTTAGTTAGAAAAGCAGTATTAAAATAGTTTCTATGAAGCAGGGATTTACATGCTTCATTCTACATTCCTGATAGCCTGACTTTTCTTAATCATGGTTCTTTACCTTTGGAGTGGTACTATAAAGGTACAGAGAATGCCTACCTAATACCAAATTTTCACCATGAAAAATCATAATAGAAATGACAAAGCTTAAAAAAAAAGTATGCTGGATTTCAAAAGTATTTACCTTAATAATTTTTAAGAAGGCTTACCATAAATATTTCCAAAACAATAGGCTTTACAACTTCCTGTGTATAGGAGCAAACATCTACTTGAGCCATTTGTCAAATTCTGTTTAATAATTACTCAAGTACCCTTTCATCTCAGAAGGATCAACAGTCATCTGATTTCTTCTTTACCTAATGATCCGTTGTCAGCCTACTTTTAACAATGGAAGGAAAAACTGGTATATAGTTTAAGTCAACTGGTTTTCCTTAAGTATCATAATTCCTATTATGTTTCCACATCATGTTGCTGTGTACTTACAGAAGCAATCTTTCTCTCAGTTATGAAAAATAAAACATTAGTCAAAGGGCTTACAAAGTGAAAAGGGAAGTTCTTTCCCAAACCCTTTCTTGTTTAAAAAATTAAATTAACTTTAAATGTACAAGACCAAACACAGGCACTTTCCAAAAACCAAAAATGAAGCCAAATCACAAAATTACTCAATAGTTATAGAAGACAGCTCTGATTTTGGGGGGTCATCTCTGGTAGCCTCAGTACAAGCACTGGTCTTTGGCTGCTCTGGCATTTCTGCCTCTTTTTCTGCCAGCCCACCAAGAGACCCCAAGGGAAAAGTGCTTTCACAATTCTGGGTCAAGGAGACCTGTGAAATTACAGGCATTTGAACAGAGGAGTTGCTTTCAAAACCTTGTTCTCCAAGATCATACTGAACAAGGGTCTCTTCTTGCTCCTGGTTTAAGTAGTCCGGTACTAGGAAATCACTTCATGCTTTAGGCGATGCATCTTTAGCGAGTAAGCCCTGGTGAACTTTTTCCCACAGCGGTCACACTGAAATGGTTTAATTCCTGAGTGGATGAGCATGTGCTGTTTTAGGTTCTGAATACGGGTGAATCGCACCCCACAGGTTGGACATTGAAAAGGTCTGTCTGGACCATTTGGACTTGGTCGTTCTGTACTGCTGGTGGAAGGAGCAATGTAGAGTCGGTAGGGATACTGAACACTTTCCAATCGATCATCATCATCCGCATGAGCATTAGTGCTAGAAGTGCTTTGAAGTGTAGGCAACCCCTCAGTAACGCCTTCATCTACTGAGCCTATAGAGTGTTAGAGTCTATAAACAAGTCAAAATAACACCTGGCATTTTGCCAGGGGAATGTTAAGAGTTCGTAAACAAGTCTGGATGGTGCCTGGCAAAATGCCAGAGGGAGTGGTTTGAGAAGTAACAAAAGCGAGCCATTAAGTGTGGAGATTCCTTATTGGTTGACTGATGTATCTAGTTTATGCTAATTAGATAAGCTGTGTGGAATGTATAAATACTGCTCCTGTCTTGCAATAAATGGCTCCCACTCCTGCTGTATCAATCTACGCAAGTTGTTCGTCACCCCCAGGGGTTATTTTGCTGCAGGCAGCCGGACTGCGGCAATAGAGGAAGACTGTGGACTAATCAGAAGGTCCTCTTGGACTTGTTCACTTCCTGGCACTGTCTGCTGATCACTCAGTGAACTCTGAGATGCACTGACAGGCTGAGACACTTCTTCATGGACCTCCTCATCACTTAACCTTTCTACTTTGACCCGGACATCTTCTTCGGTACCCAGAGGAAGGGTAGTTTTTGTGCTCTCACAAGTCACATAGTCAGCCATTCTTCTACCTGCCTCAGATGGGCCAGGTAACTCTAAAGTCCGGGTATTTTCTGCTTGCTTAGCCTTTTCAGGTTGAATCCTTCGATCAATTCCAAAAGGAAAAGTCCAGGGAAAAGCTAATGAAGAGTCAACTGGTTGATTTCTATTTTCTGTGTAGGAAGCTGAAGAGTTTAATACTTGGGGTGAACTTGTTTGTGTGCTACACTTTACAGGACTCTCAGGAGACATAACAATGTAACTTTTGCGTTTTCTCCGGGACTTTCGGCAGACAGGAATGGTTCTTTCCACCACACTGCATTCTGAAGACACTGGGGACATGCTTCCATCTCGAATAGTAAAATTGCAGGTAGAATTACTTTCTTGTCCAGCATCTAGACCCTTTTCTGGCTGGCTATTGGGTGTATTCCATAAAATACTTGATTTCATGAACTCTGAGCAGGTGCTAGCAACACTAAACATTTGCATATAGCTGGCTGCAGCTAGAACATCAATAATATTTTCTGTGTTAATTGAAAGAGTAGCTGTGTAAGCATATTCTAAAAGGGGTATAAAGCCAGTCACTGTAACATGATGCAGATCCAACACATTTTTGTTCTCATCCTCTGCTTGGCCTACAAGTTTGGTGCGAAAGAAATCACTGCAAGCTGCTAGTACCACCTTATGTGCCCGGAAGATTTTGTCCTGGACACGAATAGTGATATCACAAAAATGTCCATCATTTCGCAGCATGTTTAGTTTTCCAAGCATTTCCTGGCTGTGGGAAGAGGAGCTATGAGTAAATGTTTTCACACCCATCTTTTCCTTCCTCTTCTACAGATGCTCTTCAAGGATGCAAATGAATCACAAATGTCCTGCGGGCGGCGGTGCCGGCCGGAGGCCTGCTGCTGCTCCTCCCCGCCAGGCTGAGGCGGCGAGGTGGCGGCGGCGACGACGGCGGTGGCGGCGACAGCCCGGGGGGAGGGGGCGGAGCACGCGGCTGGCTCCCTCTCCTCCCCCGGGAGGCTCAGGGCACCCTATCTCGGGCCACCGCGCCTAGGCCCGTGAGCAGCCTCTGGCTGGGGCATGTCGGCAGAGCCCACCGGCGTGCCTGCGAGGTGGGAGAGCGGGAGGCGGACACGAGGAAAGCATCTCCGGCTCCCGGAGGGGCCTAAGGGGAGGAGCGAGGGGGCGCGGGTAGCCACGCGGGCGGCCCTTGCGGCGATTGGCCGAGGGCAGGCTGCGGTTTGGGGAGCGCGGCAGCGGCTTGGCTCGCGTTTTCCCGGCGGGGCGGGGTGGGGAAGGGGAAGGGGAGTGAGGGAAGGGGAGGGGGAGGTTGCGAGGGAGCCCCCGTGGCGCGCATGCGGGCTGGCGCCACCGCCGTTGCCGCTGGGCTGTTCTATTTTTCGGGTTGTCCTGTTTTACTTGGCCACTGGCCAGGAAGATACCAGCACTCCAGGTGCTGGACACCCCCTTAAAAGTTTTTCCCAAAGGTATCCAGTATGGTAGTTTGTAGAAATGTGCAAATAAGGCCTCTGGCCTTGAGCTGGGCTTGACAGAGATGTCTAAATTTTTTTTTTTAATTAGATGTTGATGGACCTTTATTTTATTTGTTTATTTTTATATGCGGTGCTGAGAATCGAATCCACTGCCTCACACATGCTAGGCAAGTGCTCTACCACTGAGCCACAAACCCAGTCCTGAGATGTCTACATTTTTAAGACAAGTTACCAATTGGGCTCCATGGTAACAGCTGGCAGAGGAAGAAAAGGGGAGAAAAAGCTCTCCCCTTCTCAGGTGTTGTCATTGATGGGTTAACTTGCCCAAACAGTGAAAGAAAAAGCTGCTTTTATGTGAACTTTTGCAGACTGAACTTCTGAGCCCCTCCCCTTACATGCTGGGTATAAAACTAAAACTACCTGGGGTTCAGGGGATTGATTGATTACAGCAAAAGCTGTGCCCTCTGAACCTGGCTGCAGCCAAATGAAACAGTTTCCTGCTCTGTTCGGTGCCTTGCCTCCTTTGTCCCTACAACAGGTAAGTTCACAGGAGTGGGATGGGGATGTGGCTCAGCGGTAGAGCACTTGCCTAGCATGTGTGAGGCAGTGGATTCGATTCTCAGCACCGCATATAAAAATAAACAAATAAAATAAAGGTCCATCAACATCTAATTAGCATGTGTGAGGCATTGGGTTGGATCCTCAACACCTCATAAAGTAAAATAAAGACATTGTGTCCACCTATAACTAAAAATATACATATAAAAAAGTCACAGGAGCCGGGGCTGGTGATGTGGCTCAAATGGTAGTGCGCTGGCCTGGCATGCTTGCGGCCCGAGTTCGATCCTCAGCACCACATACAAACAAAGATGTTGTGTCTGCTGAAAATTAAAAAAATAAATATTAAAAAATTCTCTCTTAAAAAAAAAATGTTTAAAAAAAAAGTCACAGGAGCAACGAAAACGCCTTCCTGTTAGTAACATTTTTTTGGGGGGGTGGGTACCAGGGATTGAACACAAAGGTGCTTAATCACTAAGCCACATTCCCAGCCCTTTTTTTTTTTTTTTTTTGGTAGTAGGACACAATACATTTATTTTTGTGTGGTGCTGAGAATCAATCCAAGTGCCTTACACATGCCAGCCAGGCAAGTGCTCTACCACTGAGCCACAACCCCAGCACCCCCAACCCTTTTTATTTTAAAACCGTCTGGCTAAATTGCTTAGAACCTCAATAAATTGCTGAGGCTGGCTTTGAACTCGAGATCCTCCTGCCTTAGCCTCCAGAGTTGCTGGGATTATAGGCATGGGCTTCGGTGCTCAGCTGTCAGTAACTTTTCTATCTCTGCCCCAGGTGCACAGAGTTCTTTGCCCCGAGGTAGGGATTGGGCTGGGCTTCAAATGGTCTGGCTCCTCCCCTCAGTTTCAGTTTCTGTTTCTCTGATTCGGAAAGGGGCTTTCCAGGGCTTCCCAGAGAACCAGGCTGGGCTGGGATCCCGGGTAGGCTGTGTTACTCTGGCCTCTCCCCTCTTGGCCAGAGCAGCTTCTAAGTGGGTCCTAAGGGTACCTTGCTCCACCTTCCACAGATGGAATAGAGTCCTGTGAGGTTGGGAGCCAGGGAATCTGAGCACCTTGCCATTTCCAGAATGGAGCTACGACCTTACCAGTGGGAGGTGATCAAGCCCGCCCTGGAGGGCAAGAACATCATCATATGGCTGCCCACTGGCGCTGGGAAGACCCGGGCAGCTGCTTATGTGGCCAAGAGGCATCTAGAGACTGTGGATGGAGCCAAGGTTGTGGTATTAGTCAACAGGGTAAGTGATCCGCCCTCCCTGTAGTGGGGTCTCAGGCAATTTGTGATCCCCTCCAGAGCTGCTGTGGCCCCTAAGCTCACCTGGTTTTTTTCACCCTAGTCCAGGACCCAGCCATGTCATGAGCGTCACCTTTCCTCTCACCCACTCCCCAGGCTGCTGATCCACCTGTCTCTCTCTTTCTCCCCGACACCCAGGTGCATCTGGTAACCCAGCATGCTGAGGAGTTCAATCGCATGCTAGATGGACGCTGGACCATGACAACCCTGAGTGGGGACATGGGGCCACGAGCTGGCTTTGGCCACATGGCCCGAAGCCATGACCTGGTCATCTGTACAGCTGAGCTGCTACAGATTGCACTGACCAGCCCTGAGGAGGAGGAGCACGTGGAACTCACAGGTAAGGCTGTGGGCATGGGAAAGGGCATACACCTGAGCTGTTCTTGAGTCAGATACCGGGAGGTTTTTTTAGAGGGGTGTAAGTTCACATTCGCCAAACCCCACCTATACTAGTGGAAACAGACCTGGCTGCCTTTCAGGATCTTGGGCACGTTCCTTTCCCCAGCTGAGCCTCGGTTTACTAATCTGTAAATTGGGAGGTAAATTGGCTGCATGTTGTGAAGGAAAGGAGTTCTCAGATGGGTGGGGGAACTTCATGAAACAAAGCTTATTGTAGGAAAGGTTGTGCAAACCTAAATCACAGCTTTCCCTCTTGTGCCCTCAGCCTTCTCCTTGATTGTGGTGGATGAGTGTCACCACACACACAAGGATACCATCTACAACATCATCCTCAGCCGGTACCTACAGCATAAGCTGCAGAGGGCACGGCCCCTACCCCAGGTGCTGGGTCTCACAGCCTCCCCAGGCACTGGTGGGGCCTCCAAGCTCAGCGGGGCCATTGACCACATCCTACAGGTTAGCTTGACCCCTGTGGTCCTCCCACCATCACTCCCACCAGGGACCTCCTGCCTGCCGGTACCCCATGCCCCGCAGCTCTCCCAGGCTCTCTGTGGAGGAGTCCAGGCCAACTTCCTCACCCAAGGTCCAGCCTCTAATGACTTCTTATGACACTTAGAATAAACTCACTTAGAAAGTCCCCTGTGCAGATCTAGCCTCTGCCTCTCCAACCTCAGTTCCCATGCTGTCCCCTGCACGCAATCTACAGCTACACTTTTTTTTTTTTTTCCTGTATCTTGAACATGTTGGGTTCGGTCTCATCTCCAGACATCTGCACTTACCATCCTTTTTTGCCAGGAATGGTGATCTCCTTAAACTGACCCCATCTGATTTCTTCTGATTCACCCAGCAACTTTCCCCACCCCCCACCCTGTCTTGGAGTTGACCTCTGGGGCACTCTGCCACTGAATCACAGCCCTTTTCATTTATTTATTTATTTTTGGTGGTGCTGGGGATCGAACCTAGGACATTGTGCATGTGAGGCAAGCACTCTACCAACTGAGCTATATCCCCAGCCCTATTTTCTTTTTATTTTGAGACATAGTCTTGCTAAATTACTGAGGCTGGCCTCAAATTAGTGACTCTTCTGCCTCAGCCTCCCAGGGACCTCCTGCCTGCCTGTACCCCATGCCCAGCAGCTCTCCCAGGGAGCTAGGAGTAGGTGTGCGCCATCATGCCTGGCCATTGGACACTTTAATGTCCTTCTTCATAGTTTTCCTTGGTCATCCCCATGCTCTCTATCACATCATCCAGCTTTAGTCTCTTCAGAGCTCATTAATACTGACACACTCTCATTCTAGTATTCTTTTAACGGTTTATTAACCATCTCTCCCATCCCAGCCTAAGTTCCTCTCTGTCCCCAGTGCCTAGAATATTAGCAACGCAGAGAGGGCAAGCAAAACATTTGTGGAAGTGAATCACATGTTGAAGAATGAAAGTCCCCATGACCCTGCTTCAGGCTCTCCTGTCTTCAGCTGGGACCCATCCTGCCTCCAAAGTTCGGCTCACTGCCCCTATAGAACCTTCCCTTTTCCAGTGAAGCCTTCTCTGTTGCCCCCAGCTCTGTGCTAACTTGGATACATGGCGCATCATGTCACCTGAGAAATACCGCTCCCAGCTGCAAGAGCACAGTCCAAAGACATGCAAGCAGTACGACCTCTGCCACAGGCGCAGGCAGGTATGTGGGGGGAGGGGCACGGAGTGGGCATAGGGTCAGATGTGCCATTAGGGAACCTGGGTTTGAGCATTATTGACTAGACCCTCACTAGCTCTGGGACTTCAGGTCTCTTATGAGCCTCCACTTATCCTTTCTGTGCAATGAGGCATATACAGCCCATGCCCACAGAGGTGCGAGCAGCCCGCTGTTTGGATTGGCTCAGATGGCACTGAGGCCATCATCAAAGCCCTACGCATGCTGTGGGTTGCTCTGCAAGCTGTGAAGCCGGAACACTTTGTGATGAGGTTGTATCAAGTTCTTTCTTTCATTAGAGACACTGTCTGGGTCTGCTATGATAGGGCTGGACAAGGACTAGGCATCACTGTGCCCAGACCAGGGGACAAGGTTACGTAGTAGGTGAAAGAGCAGGAGCTGGATCCAGAAACCTGGTCCCAGCCTCCAGCCAGGGCTCCACACTCGAGCCCCGCCCCCGA